GGCTAGCCAGTACAGGGATATGAACCCATGACCTTGTTATAAGGCTGCGCTCTAACCAACTGCGCTAACAAGCAATCGGTCAGGCTAGAAGCCCTAGGACCTCTCTAGCCTTTTCTGTTCTTTTACTCCCCCCGGTGTCTGCCTGAAAAGCTGTAGCTTTAACATGCCATGTTGCAAGCCACTGTTTCCAGCAGCTTCCAAACCATGCACCCATTCTGCCAGCACTCCCACTCAGGCAAGACTCAAACCAGCCCCTCAGACAGCACCCAGACTAACCCGAAGGTTGTATGCACAGTCTACTCTCATTCCCATTCTGAGAAAGAAGCCTTGGCATGGGAGGTTTCCTCTTTGCACCATACTACACCATGGGAGGGTGGGGGGCAACAACAGCATGTAAATGGATGTAAAATTTCCTACCCCTTTTTGCTGAATTACTTCTTATTTTACATTGACCTGGGTGCAGTAGATTCCCAGCTGGTCTTTACAGTTCTCACAAAGGTATTTTTGTCCATATATAAACTCATCCTATGGCAATATGAAGGCCTGCGGCATCCTAGTCCACCACCTTGTTGACATTCCTCGTTAGTACATAACACCGAGGGAACGAACGTTCTTGCATCCAGTCACCAGCTATGCTTACTTTAGAAGAAACAGTTGAATAATATCTAGGAAATAACTAAGTAAGCAGGAAAGAATAAATAGAAGTGAGAGATAGTGANGACTACTTTAGCTCTCATTTATTTGAAACAGGCTTACTTTCTCCTACGTTATTGAAAGACAATGTTTTACTATACAGTTTTCTTGGTTCACAGTTTTGCTGTTGTTTTGCAGCACTTTGACTAGCTCATCTTATTCCCATCTGGCTAGTAAGGTTTCTGCTGAGAGATCCACTAATGATCTTGTGGAAGTTCCCTTGAATGTGAGAGATTACTTTTTCTTGCTGCTTCCAAGATTCTCTGTTTGACTTTCAACAATTTGATCATAATGTATGTTGATGTGGGTCTTTTGGGGTTTTCCAACTTGGAGTTCACTGAGTTTCTTGAATTTGTACACCCATTTCTTTCCTCAGATTTAGAAAGTTCTAGCTGTTATTTCACTCAATAAATTATTTGCTCCTTCCTCTCTATTTTTGCCCCCTCAAATTTGCATATGCAGGCATATGTAATGCATATCTCCGTCTGCTTGATAGTGTCCCACCAATCTCTGGTCACTCTTCAATTTTCTTTATTCTTTGCTTTTGCTGTTCTCACTCAATGATTTCAAATGACCTGCCTCAAGTTTACTAAATCTTTCTTCTGCTTGATCAAATCTTTTGTTAAACCTCCCTAATGAATTTTTTCAGCTCCAGCATCTATTTGGTTCTTTTTCATACTTTGTTTTTTAGTGGATATCCTTATTTTGTTCACATGTCAATTTTATGATTTTGTTCCTGATTGTCTGCATTCTCTTTCAGCTCACTGAACATTTTTTAAGACAGCTGTTTTAAATTCTTTGTGTAATTCAGAATCTTGGTTTCTNTTGTGATAAGTTTTAGAGGTATATTATAATCTTCAAAGCAAGAGCTAATAAGCCAACAAAGGAGATAAAATGAAATAAAACCATACTTGAGTAATTAAGAAAAGAAGGCAGGAAAATGGAATCAACAGATGGAGCACATAGAAAACTATATTAATGAGCACATTAACTGTAAATAGTTTACATGCTCTAATTAAAAGGGAGAGCATGCCATTTTTGAGTAAAAATAGCAAGACTCGACTATATGCTGCCTTTTAGAAACACGTGTTAAATATAAAGACACAGGTTAACAATAAAAAATTGGAAGAAGGCTATGCCCTACGAACTCTAGCCATAAAAGCGTAGGAGTGGCTACATTAATATATTGATATTAGACAAAGTAGATTCCAGAGCCAAAAAACTGGAGATAAAAGAAAATCACTTCCTGATGATAAGAGATCAAACTGATTTCCTCAAGTGGTTCCAGTGAGAAGTACAAACTCTGAAAACAGATATTCTGAGTTAGAATCCTGACTCTGTCACTTTCTTGGGTTACTTAGCTGAACCTCACAAAGCTACAATTTCCACATCTGTAAAATAATTAGATTATTTACTTCTTCCACACATATTAAACCCTTATCACAGCCAAGGTCTTTAAAGATACCTCCTTTCTTTCAACCATGAACAACTAAAAAATCTTAGTGTGAACTGGGCAGTTATTTTTCAAAGACAGGGAACTTTCTATCAAGTACTAAGATTACTTCAAAAATATTAGTCCTGTTTTATAATA